GAGTCGGTACTGGAAAACCAAGAAACAGGCACCGAACAATCCAGTGGTGTTACTTGGCTAGATTTGGAACATTCTAGCAGTGAAGCCTCAGGTGGCAACATGGCTCCCATTGACAAACTAAGGCTGCCATCAGTGGGCGAGTGAAGGATCCCGAAGCCAAAAAGCATGTGGCCCAACAGATATCATCCGCCCTGGCCAAAGATGCTGCACCTACCTTCGACATCAAAACGGGCCAGATCAAGTCCAAGAAAGTGCCCAAGGAAAAAACGGCAGAAGAAAATGCTATGAAGGAACTGAAAACTCTACAGAACAAGCTGCATGTCATTTATGGTGTGTGTCTTTTTTCACACGCCAGGCTCATGAATTTCTATATTTGCTGATCTTCAATCTAAGGGTGAAGAACATGGCCAATGACCGTGAAAGGTGCTTGCGAGAGTTTGTTGAGCACAAGGTGCGAAATTGCAGTGAATTGGCTACTAGACTTCAATCATATGTTTTGACTTTGGGGAGTTGCTGATATATTGATTTCCCATGAATTCCCTGGACCTAAGGTGAGATGCCTCGAGGACCATCAATCATTGATCCAGAAGCACCTTGAGGATATCGAGGAGAAAGTTGGCATTCCGGTATCAGAGATCGATGCAGCAGCAGCTACCGACTACATCAACCGTCTCAAAGGTGAACTGAAAACTGTGGACATTGATCTTCGTGATGCAAAAAGACGGATTAGTGCGGCCAAGCCCAAGAAACCTAAAAAGGTTGAGGAGGAGTTTGAATCGGAGCAATCTGAATCCGAGTAGGGTCCTGATCGTTGTCTTGCCCAGCCTGGGGGTGTTGAAAGGAAAGCCTACACTGAGTGCACAACAGTCCATCAATATACTTATCACATTGATTCCCCTGTTGAGTAATCATGTATTGTCCCAGAGCAAAGTGGCATGGACCATGTCAGTTTTGGTGTCCAGTGCAAGCTCCACCAAATGTATGTGTGTGTGTCACACCTTTCTGTGTTTTCATGTTCCTAACCACAAGAACCTTTCACAGTAGGGGGTCACCAGCTTTTGTTCGTGTCAGTCAAAGCATTCCGCCCGTTCCCTTGGAGCCAATCAAGTGGCTGGACACTTGTGATCTCTTTTGCAGCCTGGCGTTGCATCGTGGATGGTGCTGTATGATCAGCAGTGACCACGAAGTGGTGTTAATTTGATCGACTGGGGGTGAGGCCAAGAAGGCCTTCTGAAGTGAAAAGATTCAGAAGAAACGGATCTTAGAAAACGCATGAAAACGCATTGATGTGCAATATGACTCTTACAAACACAGGAATGCATGTCTTCGTGGATATGCTATGTATATACACTGGTAGTGCCATATCTTTCAATGGGTGTCCAACATGCATTCAATCAACAGGTTGAACATCCAATGTCCCCTTGATCACTGATCATGAACATCGATATAGTAACACCGAACCATGAACTGCAAATATATCGACAAAACAGGTGTAACCCTATAAAGCTGGTCCAGGTTGAAATGGCTGAGATCCTGAGATCTTTAAATCTTATGTTGTAACAAATCTTCGAACACCAAACATCACCAAATAGTTTACCTGGATGTTGATGTTCCTTCCGCCTGGGCCACCGGAATGGACCTGGTGGAGGAGTTCCTTGAATTGACAAGAACAGTATCTTGACTGAGTAGATCAAGCTTGTCATGATCTTTTCTCAGTTCGCTGTTCTGCATTGATGAGTTCAAAAGTGTGGGCAAGGTGAGTGTGACGACAATAGTGAGCCTTTTTGTGATTCTCCGAAAGCGGATTCCTGGTAGATGCCTACCGATGCACAGTTGCATATAACAGATTGGGAATCTTTGACAAGTTTGTCTGTCCTGTTCATTCTTTGCCCCACTACAGGAGAAACTTGCGAAACTTGGTGGACCTTCTTGGAGACGATGAGGAAAAGAATTATGCTCGTACGTTCTGGCGGTGGCTTGACAAGCAACCCTGGAGAAGAATGCTTCCACTGCCATTGGAGCACCTTATCTTGCAGATTCGATTCTTGTTTCATGCAAGCCGATTGACTTGCTGGCATGATTGCTGCTCAATTGCCCAGGATCCCAGTTCTTTTGCAAGATATGGCACGCGCACAGCCAGTTTATCTATCATCATGGCATGTATTCCTTCCGAGCGATGTGAACCTTGTTTGTTGGAACTTGTTTGTTGGCTTTGGGGGGGGTCCAACTGGCCAAATTGAAATTTGGTGGGTTCGGTTTGTTGCATATCAATCTGATCTGCTCAAGAATCTGAGGATTTCATCTGTATATCACTACAGCTTCGACCTCTTCAAGGAAAAGCTTGTTGGCCCAGATGGTGTGCCTTGGTCATCCTTTCGAACACACATGTGTGCAGTGTTCAGTGCTTCAAGATTTTTCAATGCAATCCAAGTAAGGCTATCAGTGAGTTTTGGAATTCCCACAAAGGGACAGAGTGGTATCAATGCCATCCAGTGCTCAATGACCCTGCTTCTGGGCTTGTATATCGTAAGCTGTTGAGTACGCATCCCCTGAAAAACTTCGTAGATGTTTGGAACCCAGGAGGTGAATTTAGATATGGTGATCCCCATTGCCGTCCACGGGGACGAAGCTGATTCGCATCGGAGGAGGTCATTTTCGATCTTGACATTTTACAGCCTCACAACAAGTGGGACCATTTTTGAGAATAAATTCCTCACGTACTGTCTGGACAACAGTGTCGCCACAGAAACTACAGCCTCTACACTGGAGCGCTGGGTTGCTCATAGCTTGTCAGAACTACAAGAGGGATTCTTTAGCCAAGTTGACCCTTGGGGGCAGGACTTCCCAAGGAAGAATCGAAGTGGCCCAATTTGCGATGGCTGGAAGTTCATCGTCGCTATGGTGAAGGGGGACGAGAAATGGCACCAAAGAGCTTTTCGGACAACAAAGTCTTGGGTAAGTCGTGATCCTTGCATCCATTGTGGGGCATCAAGCGCGGCAAATAGTGGTGAGCTGCTCTACACCAGCTTTGGCCCCCTTGCTGGGCACAGATCCACCTTGAGAAGCACCACCACATTTGTTTCAGAAGTTTGCCAAATGCAAGTATGGACAACCATCCCAGGTTTCAACCTTTCGATGGTATGCTACGACTGGCTTCACGTGACTGACTTATGCATTGTGCCTGAGTGCGGGGCTTCAGCATTGAAGCTTGCTTTAACAGGAGTTTGGACAGTGACTTGCATGCATGTGGATTTGTTTTGATGGGGCTCGATGTGAGGATGGTACTCATATCTCATCGTTCCAATGTCTTTGGATCGGGGAGTCAAGATGAGAAACTTCGTCGGGCCTTTGTGATGTTCTCGAAGGCCTGTCGGGAATGTCGGATCAGTGCCCTGGTGTCATCCTTGTGTATAGTTGCGGTACACTTGTTGCTCACACCTTTGCACATTGTTGATTTTCCTGAACTGAGGAAACAAAGGGCAATTTTTCTCCGTGAAGCTTTGCTGTGATCGATCAAACCATTGAAATTATTAACGTGTTTTGTTTGTAGTTCTGGTTTTGTCAGTCCTGACCGAATCTCAGGAAAAACCTTTACCCAAATGGCCCAAGTTCTTATCCAACTTTTGCTCAGAAACATATGAATGGATCTGATGCTTGGCTTAGCTTTTGGGATATGCTCAACAGCAGGCATGTCACACGCAGCAAATCACATAAGGAATGTGTTGTGCTAGCCTGGTGGCTGCATCAATTGACATTGAAGCTGGCGGATGAATACCCGGAGGATGGAAACATGCAGTAACTTAGTTGATGTTGTACTTCACTTTTGGATTCAGCTTAGACTATCTCCCTGACTGAGGCTGATGGCCGCAGTCTTCCTCAATCTTGTTCTGATGAGAAGTGCATTGAGCAAATCAAACAATCCTGGACGGTTCACGACATTGACGCAAAGCAACCTGGACCAGTTGCAGCGATCTGCATATCTATTCCGAGCAGCCCACAACAGCAACTAGGCCTTATACTGAAGGTCAATCTGTTAATCCTGAGACATGTTGCCTGGATCTCGTTTGATTCCAGGCCTTGCGAATGATGCCATGGAAAGTGGCAAACTATTGTGGAAACTCCGCCCGAAATACCACAAGTTCCTTGGTTGATGTTGTGTTTTGCGCCCTGGTGTGTCTTCAAGTTGTGTGAGCCTGATGTGTATTTATTTAAGGCTCGACCATATAGTATGGGATCAAGCACCTCAGATCTCGCCTCTCCATGCCTCATGCTACATGGACGAGGACGGCGTGGGCCAGATTAAGAGGCTGGCTGCACAGGCCAATCCAGTTTCCCTGGGGTACACTGTGCTCCAGCGCTATAGCGCCTATACGTGTACAAAGTGGTTGCGCCAACTGGCGGGTTGATGATAAAGAAAACTCCTCCATCAAAGATATCACCACTTGAATCTGCAGTTGGTTCAATCATGCCGGGTCGACCTCCTCCAGCTTCTGCGCAAAAAGGTGGCAAAGGCCGCGTGTGCTCTGCTGGTGGGTGGGAAAGATTTGAGGAAAGCCTTAAACTCCTTAAACATCTTAAGTCATCATAAATCCATGTGTGAAAGTTATAGCATCCATGGTTTTCCTCACATCTGGGGACAGTGGGTCTCAACAAAGTACACATGTGTGGAAACACCCTCCAACAGGTCAACACTGGTACCTTTGGGGTATGTGGTTACTAAGATTGTTAAGAGGCTTCTACAGGCAGCCTCTTAAGGAACCCATTTTCAAAAAACCAGTAGTGACCTGTTGGAGGGTGCTGGTATATATATATATGTTTTTTACTCCCCTTCACTGTCCGAAAATTGTGTTTTTCTTTATTAACTAAATACATGAGAACTCGATCCCCCTCGGCAGGAGGGTGTTTTTGTTGTTTTTGTTTCGCTTCCTCACAGTATACGCACCTTCACCTGTGCTCCCTCCAAACCCGGCGCATTGGACCCATCCGCCCAACCCGCGGAGGAGATGAGGTGGATCGTCAAAGCATCGCCGAGTTCGTGTATGACACCACCTCTGGAAAGGTGGGTGTGGGATGGTGTGGGAGAGTTGATGTCGGAACTTGAGTTCGGTGCCCACCATGGTGCCCACTTGGGAATTGGACATGTTTGACGCTTAAGTTTGGATAGATCAAGATAATGGTGCCATTATCGTTGGTAAGGTAGGTCTGGGATAAAGGTGATACTCGAGGCTTCTGTTCATTCGACTTGCGTATTTTATTTTTCATTGATCATGACGGTGATCACCGACGAATGTTGCGGCCATTTTGGCGAAAGAGGTGGAGGGTGATCACCCAGAGTCTGAATTTCTCTCCTGATTTTCGAGTTTGGGCCTGGGGATCACCCTAGGTTGTCTTAGGTGAGCTCGTTCCTGCAATGTCGGCCAACCAGCTGCCACCGTTCATGAGGCAGCAAGCGATGGCTGCTTCCAGGGCTGTTCAGCCCGAGGACTCGATCAGCAATGTGAGTGGTCGAAGTTGGAACTATGTTCACCGGGACGACGAGGATGCAGATCTGCCACCTCCTGATTTGGAATTGCCAAAAAGACATCAGGAGGTGACCATTGAGAACAAGATCGCACCACCACCTCAAGAAACACAAGAAAGTGCCCAAGGGGCTGATCAGCCGGCCAGTTCGTCAGATCCACAAACACCAGCACCCAAGGCTCAGCCAGAGATCGCCCCGAAGGCGCCACCGCCAGGAGTGCCTCCACCACCTCCTGCATACAGCTCGGCAGCAGCAGCCCCTGCCACTCAGGCAGCACAGAACCTCTTGGCGGGGGTCAACCTGCAGTATGGCTCCCGGAAGCTCAGAAAACAAGCTGAGAGAGCAGCTCGAAAAGGGGCTCGCGACTTGAGGTTCGGTCAGCTCGGAGGGGGACTTCATAATGCGCTCTCATCGGCACTGCCACCCTACCTGAGGCAGGTTGGATCTGGTGAGAATGAGAGGTCAGTGATCGTTGTTGATTCACGTGATCAGCGCATCTCAAGCCCGTTCCAGGGTTGGCTGCTCGACGAAATCTTGATCAATGCGCAGGCCGGTGTCAATGTGCTGTCAGATGCCAAGCTGCTCCGTAGCCCATCGACCGGGTACCACATGAGCTTGTTCTACATGAGGACGCTCGAGGGGAAGAAGTTCATTTTGGTCGGTTCGATGACATCGTATGGCTCAGTGCCGTGTGGCAAGTGGGACTCCTTGACCGGAGATGTGATGAGTCACCCTGCATTCCAACCGTTCAGGTGGCCCATCATGAGGGACGACAGCTCGACTTGGGTTGATGTCAAGGTTAAGGTCGAAGGCGGCCTTCTCCTCCATCTGGAGTTGCGCGGGTACCGCTCGGACCGCGACATGACGGCCCAATTGAACTACGTGAACGATGCTCTGGTTATGGGGCTCGAAGATGTGTTGTTCATACCGTCATGCACCATCACGGTGTTCCAGGGGTGGCGAGTGTGTGCCATCTCCTTTGAGGTCGGGGGCCAGCTCTACGCATGCAGCGAGGGAGGGGTTGTGGTCGCTTTGGATTTTCCTTTGTGCCACTTCGAAGTGCGCCTGACCGCGGTTTCGTCTGCTGACTCGTTCGGCCATGACGCAGATCGATTGGAATTCAGGTTTTGCTCCTCCCAAGATCGATTGGATATGAGCTGTTCAACGATTGCAGTTCCTTCATCGTGGCTGGTGGTGTCACGGTGCTCTGGGCCAACACTGGTTCGAAACGCACGCTGGTGCCGTGAGCACTATGCCAGGGTGGAGAGTCCTGATCAGACCATGCAGATGGGCCAGATCGCAGGGATCCACGCACACTGGACTTCAGGGGTGACGGCTCAGTCGCCCGAGGAAACCGGTGCTCGGATCGGAGCAGTGGATGTCAGTTCGCACCAGGAGAACCTGCACCTCACCTGTGAGAGCCCCTTGTTCAAGATGGAGAAGAAGATCGTGCCCAAGGAAGCGATCGCACTGCAGTATCATGATCCGGCCACAGAGAAGGCCACAATGATCTTGCCGCCCACCATGGGCGCCCCGGCGGTCGCGATTGCCCAGACCAAGTGGCAGCCGATCCGCGACTTGGTCGGTACTGGGGCCAGCTCGACGCCATCGGTGGACAGCATGCGGGTGACGCCTGTGTCGCTGACAGATCCAGGACAAAAGCCGGTATTGGGCACAGCTCAGACCAATCAGCCGATCTATGCACCTCGTAGGTCGCTCGATCATAGGCGGGGCGAGTGTATGTCGGAGGCCGCAGTGACACCGCAGGCCTTTGTACAGCAGTCGCGGATGGTCATGAGCTCTTTTGCATCTCCGGTCACGCCAAGGGTCGATCGCCCTTCAACAGTGACCATCACGCCGGAAGAGGCAACCCCGGGAGTGCCTCAGTCGTTCGGGCCGGCTGCTGAAGATTCTGAGCTGGTCTGAGCAAGATCGCTGAGGCTCTTGTCTCCCTTTTTATGTGACAGTATGTGCAGTTCGCACGAAGCAGGGCCGGGCATGGCCGACGTTCCAGGGAGTGAAAGAGATGCATAGACCGTTTTTGAACGAAGGGTCGAACTTTGTTCAAATGGATATTTTTTTTAATTTAATATCATCCCTGATCGTCCAATTTTCTTATTTGGAATTGTTTCACAGGTCCGGATTTTTGGCAGAGGTCGTTCAGGGGTCAGGGACGGTGCATGCTCAGCTCCAGCGGGCCCCTAACTCTTGATCGCTCGATCCGATGCCACTGCAGGTTCAACCCTCAGTACCGGTCGTTGTGGGAGCTCAGAGTGCTGTGCATGCAGCGATCGCTGCCGGTTCTAACTATGTATAGTCTGATGCCGGTAGGATTGCTCTAGCCGCACTCTGATCGCTCGATGTTGTTCAACAAGTAGACATGCTCGTGATGAGAGTCATCTGGTGCATGCTCATGCGAAGGCAACAAGGTCCAAGGTAGTCTGTCCTTGTTCTTTGAGCTTGTGAGTTCGCTCGACTACTGTCTTGGCTCGCTCGTCGATGTGCTCTGGCAAGGTTTGAACCCCAGCGGAGCTCGATCGAGTGTTGGACGACAGTTCGCGGACCCCCAGTGTCGCGAGAGCGATCATGGCTCAGGGTGTGGATAGGTGGGTCGCTAAAGTGCTAGCACTGCCCGTGTTTTCGCATGACTTCGCGGATGCGCTCGCAGCGTCGCCGCTGGCCAATTTGGCGCTGATCGCATCGATGGAAGTAGCAGCGGGGGCACAGTTCGTGCAGAAAGTTTCGGACTGGGCCGGGACGATGGACCCCAAGGTGGCAGAAGCTCTGCTAAGAGAACCAGCCATGCTCGAACAGTTTTGGAGCATCGCATCGTCGGTCGAGAAAAGCTTTTTCGAATCGACTGCTCTTCAACTCGGGTTTGGTCTATGTGAACCTTCTCAGGCACATCGTGTTCTTAGTGAGGAGTCTGCTCTTAGGAAACAAGCGGCCATTCGAGCCTTGGTTTCAAAGCCCGCTCGGGACCCCAAGCGAATGAAGACGGCGAAGGATGCGCCTGCGGGGTCAACCCCCCTGCTAGACCATGAGCAGGCAGAGCGCCATAAATGGGGCGCAAAGCTCGAAGAGATCGGGCGCCGCGCTGGCTCCTGGGCAAAGCTGTTCGAGAAGCGCCAGGATGGGGAAGAGCTCTCAGCAGGAGAGTCAGCTCGTCTCCGACATCTCGTTCTGACCTCAGGAGCTCATCGCACCATGGCGGCACACGTTCGTGCTTGGGAAAGATTTGAGTTGTGGATCGTAGCTAATCATCTCACCATGTTCCCACTTTCTTTGGACAAAGTTCTGAAATATGCTTTGTATTTAGATTCCAGGGAGTGTGGGCCCACAGTGATCCCAACTTTGAGATCGTCAATTCGTTGGGTAGCATCTCGATTAGCAATTGATTGCCCCAACTTGGACGACCCCCTCCTAGTTGCCCTTCAGAAAGAAGTGGTCAACAAAAGGGCTACCTTGCTCAAGGAGGCGGTCCCCATCCCGATGGAGGTCATCCGTTGTATGGAAATCTTTGTTGTTTCAGAGGCCCCCGCGGCCGCTCGGCTTTTCGTGTGGTGGTGGTTGTGTTTAGTGTTTGCTTCGCTCCGGTTTGACGACGGAGTCCACGTGAAGCCGTCTGAACTCCAGTTGCTCAACGATGGCCTCTTTGGGGTGTCTTGGCAGACCAAAGTGGAGCGTAAGCGACGCGGAACCAAGTTCGTCGTCCCGCGTGTGGGTTTTTCCGATGTTGGGTGGTTGGAGGAAGGATGGGCGTTGTTGACTTCGGACTCGCTCGACCGTGATTTTTGGATTTGTGACCTCAACTCTAGATCTGAGTTTCGCCCCCAACCACCCGACTACCACCGCTCGGTCCAGTGGCTGAAAGTGCTCGCTCGAGACGCTTTAGATCGGTATGCCAAAGGCCCGCCTGAGGCGGCAAAGGCGCATGCCATGCAGGTTAATAAGCTCTCAGCTCACTCAGCACGTGTGACCTTGCTTGACGCTGCTGTGCACGCCGGTCGGTCAGCCGAGGAGATCGGCCTCCAGGCTAACTGGAAAGATCCGGGTCCTCTGATTCTTAAATATACTAGGAACCGCTCGTCCGTGCCGGCAAAAATGGTACAGCAGCTTGTTCAGGACATGTTAGCTCAGGAGCACCCTGTCCAGGAGTCGGACGACGTCATGCTCGACGCTCCGGACATTTTCAATATAGACACCCCTGAGTTTTTCCTGAAGAACCCAGCTCCAGGGTCTTATTATGACTATCGCTACCATTGCTCGAATAGTGACGATCCAGCAAGAGTAGCGTGTAATAAATTTGCACTTGATGAATGCAGTTCCATGGGCACGGTCTTGCCAGATTTGTCAGTTCTGTGCAAGGCTTGTGCTCGTGCCCGACCCGATGTGGTCCAGGCATTTTCGGACTCCTGATGGCTGCTCAGTATAAAGAAAGAGTCCGCGTTCACCGACTAAGTTCACTCTACCGGAAAGGCCTGTTTTATTTGCACTTTGCATGTGTCTTTGCACGTTTGCTGTCATGTTTCTTGCATGTGAGCGGCAATGTTTTTGATGACGGTTCGGGTTTTTTTTCTGCGATTGTTCAATCATGAGCCCTGGTCATGCCTGCGACTTTCGCAGCACTTTTCGGGCCAGCTTCAGTTCCAGCCCGTCATGGTCGATCGCACAGTTTACTCCGATGCCGATCACACACCTGATCTGCCGCTCAGACAGATCTTCGGGCGCCAGCGGGTGCCCACAGACCTGTGCAAAGTCGTGGCTGATGCAGGCCTGCTCACGGTAGAGACTTTCGCCATGCTCGGTGACACGATCGCAGCCGTGAAGCAGACCGTCAAGACTATGCTCGCTGACGACTCAAAGCTGGGTGCAGATCCCCCTCGCCAGGAGCTCGCTCTGACATCTCTGGCGGCGGTGTGGCGAACCTGCTCGACAATGCAGGAACACTTTGCAGCTCGCCGAGCGAAGATGGAGGAGGATCCAAACAAGGTCCCGGAAATCCCGGGTGAGGATCATGCCGAGTTCCGGCAACAGTTCATCGCTCGTCATCCCGATGTTGTTCTGCCTCATCACCGTGAGCCTCATCGGAAGTTCGTGGAGCGCTTGCAGCGCGACTTCTTGGTTCATGGGGCGGTCAACTTCTATGAGGTTGGGGAGATGCGCACACGCAATGAGACGATCGCTCAGAAGTCAGGCATCAGCCGGAGCGCGGAAGACTTGCTCAAAGTGGTCCAAGTTGATCAACCTGTCCATATGGTCTCGGAGTCGCAGGTCATGGACAAGCTCCATGCCTTCTTTGTCGCTTTGGAATACCTCAACATCTGCGAGTTCTCGTACAAGGCCGGCCCGCTCCAGTACCTGTCAGACCTGGAGGAGTGGCGCCATGAGAATCGTGGCCTTGCTCTGCTGCTCGCAGTCGACTCCCTGATCAGGAAAAAGGTCTACCGTTTGAACTCGGACCACAAGCAGAAGTACACCACGTTCTCGGCGGCCTTGCTCGAGGTTCTCCAGCACCACAAACAGCTGTGGAACGACGCTCGCTCGGGAGCCGAGTTGGACAAGTTCAAGCAAGCCCATCAATCTTCAGAGCCAACCACTCCTGTGAGGAATCGGAAGCGCTCGCGTTCCCGCTCGGGTACGCCGCCCAAGCCGACAGCCAAGGCTCGCAAGAACAAGCAGCGGCGGCAACGCCTCAAAGAACAACTCCGTTCCTTGAAGAGCCCTGCCGGAGAAAGCAAGGCGAAGCCTGAGATCAAGGCAAAACCCGCTCGGGATGCTCGGATTCCAGCAGATGAATGGGCCAAGGTCAACTCGTTCAAGTACAGTGGTCCCAGGCGATGTCCGTTCTTCAACTGCTCCAGCGGCTGCCGGTTCGGCGATCAATGCAAAAACAAGCACCTCTGTGTCGAGTGTGGCAAGGGCCACTCTTGGCACGGGAATCACTGAAGTGCTCCTACATCACCCCCAGGGTGTTTGACCCCGCCCCCGGGGGATTTTGGGGGCCGCTCGCTGGGCCACAATGATGCTGAGGGGGCATCCGCTCACCCTCAGCGGACAGGCATGGCGGCTGCGCGCCCGCACTGGGTTTCCTGGGATGAAGTTCCATGGGATCCACTGGTGGTGCGCTCGTATGGACCCTGGTTCTTAGAAGTGTTCTCGGGCACAGCTCGCTTGTCAACCTATGTGGCATCCCTGGGCATTCCAGTTCTGCCGCCTGTGGACATTGAGCTCTCTGAGATGGTGCCGCAGGCAGTTGATGTCCTGGACCTCGAGATCTGGGACCGCATCATGCAGCTCGCACATGTGGGCGCCATATTCTTTGTTCACTTGGGCACTCCATGCAATTCCTTTTCGTCCGCTCGCAAGCTCGATGGCGGGCCTCCTCCGCTGCGGTCCCCGCAGTGCCCTATGGGTTTGCCGGACCTCTCGGAGGCAAACCAAGGGATTCTCTTTCTGGGCAATATGTTTGCTTGCCGCTCGGTGGAACTGGCTATGGCTGTCTTTTCCACGGGTGGTGACTTCTCGATCGAGAACCCCTTGCTGAGCTTGCTTTGGGCTACCCCGTTGCTGGTGGAACTGGCCAGGCTCGCTCGCTGCTTCGACGTGGACTTTGATCAGTGCGTCTATGGAGCTCCTTCTGTGAAGCCTACCCGGCTCCGAGTCACCGCGCAGATCTTTGAAGTGCTCAGTGTGTCGTGTCCCGGCAACCATGCGCATGTGCAGCTCCGGGGCCAGATCTGGGACGCCAAGAAAGAACGTTTTGTTTTCAGGACCAAGCTCGCACAGGAGTATCCCTATGCCTTGTGCGCCTCTATGGCCCTACTGGTCCACCAGCTCTGGTTGGGGGAGCTCCCACAGTTTGATGCCTCGTTCAATTTGGCTCCTGTCGATCGCAAGCGGCCCCTGGGTCAATTGGCTCGCTGGAAAGGACACCGTCAAGAAGACTCCGCTCGCCAAGCCTTGGTCTCGGGGTACCAGCTCAAGCGTGGTGCTCTCAAGCCCCTCTTGGACATCGAGATGGAGCCAGGCCAGGCAGCTCGCTGGGCCTTGACGGTGGTTCATCCATTCACAGTGCAGCTCGACGTGGAGGCCTCGTTGCAGACCGCAGTTCATGCTCTGGCTTTGCAACCTGCTGCGGTCATAGCACGTCGCTTAGAAGCTCTGCAATGGTGGGAAGCCGAAGCTCATCGGCTGCTGCCTGAGACGATCGCTCGCATTGAAGCTCAGTCGGATCCTGACCTTCGGACCCTTCTGCGGGGTTGCTCTGAATCTCAGACACCCAAGCTCGGGCAAGTCTGTCATGTTGCTCTTTACGAAGCCATGCTCCTGAAGGTCGCCTCGGTGGATGTGCAGCTCGCAGATGATTTGCTTCATGGGTTCCCGATCGTGGGGGCAATCAGAGCTTCGGGGCGATGGCCGCCGTATGCCAAGCCTCAGGTGGTCTTGCCTGTCAGTGATGCTCTAGCACGGGCCTGGGAGATCCGCAAGAAGATCGTTCAGCGAGTTAAGGCAGTTCAAGTCTCCGAAAACTTGCAGAAGATCTGGGATGCAACGCTCGAGGACTGCTCGGAAGGGTCATGCAAGGGGCCCTGGTTTTCTGAGAAAGAGGTCTCTGAGTTTTTAGGTTGCGAAGACTGGATCCCAACACAAAGATTTGAAGTTGTTCAGAAGAATAAAGTTCGTGGTTGTGATAGTGCCACCACAAACATGATCAATCAAATCACCAAGATCTCGGAGAAACTTCAATTGCCATCCACGGATTCCAATGTGGCAGCTCTGAGATTGCTGAGATCTGCAGTGCCGCTCGGCCAGTTTGCAGGCTGGGTTCTAGACGAGAGGAAGGCCTATAGGCAGATCGCAGTAAAGCCTGAACAGAGAAAGTTCTCGGTCATAGCCCTGAAAGATCCGAAGTCTGCTCGACCCGCTTTCTTTGTTATGATCGGGCACTCTTTTGGGTTGGTGTCCGCGGTTTACAACTACAATCGTAGATCGGCTGCCATCAATGAAATTCTGGTCAAACTGTTCGGTTTAGTGGCGTTCAGTTTTTATGATGACAAGTATGGTTTCGAGCTCGAGTCAACAGCCGCGAGCGCTCGCCTTGTGGCAGAGTGTGTTCACACGTGGCTAGGAGCACGATATGACCAGAAGAAACTTCAGTTGTCTGAGGCTCCAACCATTTTAGGAGTGACATACAACCTGAAGGATATGCAGCTCGAAATCAAGGCAGATCGCAAAGAAGACCTTTCAGGCGAGATCCGCTCGATCCTGGACAACAACGTGCTGGACCCAGGGACGGCAGGCAAGCTCAAGGGCAAGCTGATGTTCGGAGCATCACAGCTCTGGGGCAAAGTAGGACGAGCTTTTCTGAGGGTGCTCTCGGAACGCCAGTATATGAAGTTCCCGATCGGACCAAAGTTCGGTCTTGATAAGCCGCTCAGGCTGGCGCTCTCTCAATGGCTTAAGTTGGTCAACGAGGGCCCTCCCCGAACGATCGATAGGCAAGTGCAGAAGAAGTCCGATTGTGTGATTTTTACTGACGGATTTACACCTGATCCTCGGACGCCTGCACATGAAAGATTGCCTGATCGAGTTGGGGCAGTCCTGTTTGATAGGCGTTTATCTAGACCGATCCAATTCACCTCCGTTGTTCCCCAATCGGTGAGTAAGCTCTGGCTACCCCGATCGACGCAGATTATACCCATTGAAATGCTCGCGCCAATACTGGCTCTCAAAACTTTTGCTGATCGCTTGTGTGGTGCGGATGTCATTATTTTAATTGACTCCGAAGTCGTGGAAGCCGCACTAGTGAAAGGCTATTCTAGCAAAGAAGACGTCTGCTCGCTGATCTCGATCTTTTGGGATTTAGCTCTCGAGCTGAAATGTAAGGTCTTCTTGGATCGGGTGTCTACGGACGCTAATCCGGCCGACTGGCCGTCCAGGAATGACCTGGCTCGTGGCGAGGCCGCTGGATGGGTGACTGTGGACGCTCGTTGGCCTGTGCTGCTTGCTCCTCGTTCTGGGCCTGGGAGTGATCATGGATGCACATGAGTTGAGATAGTTCCCTGCAGTCC